CATGTGGCTTGAATGAAGGCATTGAAGCTATGGACTCACTTGCAGTTTCCCCAGACCTGAATCCAATTGAGTACATCTGGGACATCATGTCGCAATCCATCAACCAACGTCGGTTGCACCATGGACTGTCCAGGAGTTTGCAGATGCTTTAGTCCAGGTCTGGGAGGAGATCCTCTGGAGACCATCAGCCACCTCGTATGGAGTATAGAAGCACCTCTAGACATTGTCGGAGGTCATACAGACACGTGGAGGCCACATACAAGACTGAGCCTCATTTTGACCTGTTTAAAAGACATTACATCAAAGTTGGATCAGCCTGTAGTGTGTTTTTCCACTTTCATTTTGTGTCTAACTCTAAATCCAGGCCTACATTGGTTAACGCCAGCGACCTGGTGGATGTTAAGTGAGGTAATAACTCAGAATGCATAAAATTCCACCGATAAAATTTTTTCCACTATAGACATGTTAGACGTCATTAAAAAGCCTAGATTCTCCAAAATTCAACCACCAAGATCATTTTTTGGACACAGTTAGCCCATAACGTCCGGTTGTTGACATAAGAAAAGTTAGCTGGCCATAGCTTATTCTCAGCATCTTGCTAATATTTACTTCTAATACTTATTTCCTCGGTTAGTAGCTTGTGATGTTATTCTTTGCTGTTATTGGTCAAGACCACAGGGGTGTTGGGCTTTGTAGCCAATTAAATAAGCTTTCGAACGACCCCACATGTGTGTAGTGTAGTTAAAGGGGTACCTCATTACAGGCTTGTGTTAGAGAGAAACACAGACAGCTGCGGTTGGAGCCATTGCGCGCCAATCCAAGCTGACACCAAAAGTTCAAAAACCCACAGCTCTGGAACTGTTGTAGCTAGAGGTCTGAAATTGTTTGCATATGTGGTTGACATGATGTAGAACAAATTTATAAAATGAGACCTGCCTTTTCTCAAGAATGTCTTTATTACAGCTGTTCAAAAAAGACCTATCATTTCCAGAGGTGTCAAGTAACAAAGTAAAAATACCTCATTACTGTACTTAAGTACACTTTTTAGGTATTGATACTTTACCCCATTACTTATTTTTCTTCCTACTTCTGACTTCTACTCATTACAATTTCACACAAGTATCTGTACTTTCTATTCCTTATATTTTTAAAACAAATATTACTCATTACTCTTGGCTTCGGTTTAATGTTTATAAATATTTATTTCACGTCATGTGCGCCATCCACATCTAATGAAAACTAGTGTAATTGGATGAGTCATATAACGCAAACACTAATTGGTTAGCTAAAGGAAGTCATCAAAAGCAAGCAGGTGTTCTGTAAACGTGAATTGTCTATGCCATGCTACAATGTCAGATTCAGAAAAAGATGTTGAAACGTCTGAAAGGTCAGACACAGGCGAGAGAGTATCGGAAGATGGAGATGTAGACCAACAAGACCTCCCTCACCCTTGGCCCTATCTCAAAGAATTATTCGAAATAGCCAAAACACTGACCTTTCAATATATATATAGTAGCATCTGACTGTTTTTTAAAGGTTACTTTACACTTTTATACCTTAAGCAGTTTTTGGACCACATACTTTTCCACTTTTACTTGAGTAAAGAGCTCAAGTGGATGCTTCAACTTTTATATCTGTATCTGCAGTATCTATACTTCTACTTAAGTAAAAAAATGCATGTACTTTTGACACCACTGATAATTTCTGAGAATAACAAAAACAACTTTGAGTCATATTATAACTGATGCAGCTTGGTCTGTGTTCTACTCGCCCAATTGTAGTTATATATTCAGAAACTAAAGGGTGTTAACGTTTCAAAAAATTTTTTTGCAAATGTAATTTGGGCTTACAGTTTCTAAGTTATTTGCTTTTCCATTTGGGTATGCAAAATAGTGGAGAGTTTACCAAAATGAGGTGGGTTTTATTTGATTTCCATTGACGACTTTTGTGTGATTTTTGTTATCAGCACATTCAACTTTCAGTACTTACAGAAGAAAGTATTTAATGAGAATATTTCATACATCCAGATCTAGGATTTGTTATTTGATTCCCCCCCTTTTTGATTGAACAGTTATATCCATCCATCACACACCTGTGCACATACTGCTGCAGCAGTGGCGGCCGGCCCATAGGGGGCGCTGGGGCACCGCCCTCCCTGATAAGAAGAGAGAAACGTAAAATATATTTTTACAAATTAACTCATAAATGTCAGTTTTACTCTCTAGAGTGTGTACCTATAACCAAAACAAATTATATAAACTACATTTCCCTACCTACTGTCATTCATTTGTGGATTTCCACAGACAGACTCCTACCGTCTCTGTCTTGGGGCGCTGATCAGACTGCCCCACATGTGCAGAGAATCTGCCAATCATGTACTATTGCTAGGTCAATTTAATAATTTAATGGCCAATCAGCGTCTCAGAATTTTATGGTCTTGGGGCGCTGAAAATACTGCCCTTTAACAGGCTTCTGCACCCAATGCACAGGTGCAGACAATTAGAGGGACGATGGCAAACGTAACGAGCGAGATGCAGCTTCCACCAAATTCGGTGAGATCCTTATTTTATCCGATTGCCAGAAGAACATCCCTGTTGTAGGATATGAAAATTTCATGTCATGGTTATTGTGACTGTGACGTATCCACCTCGTCACTTAAAACAACCTCTCTAACTTTGCGTGCCACACACACACTCCTGTTATACTGTGCTTGTGAGGACCAATACACTCGCGCTGAGCCCTACAGTAGGTCCATTAACTTAAAAAACACAAGCTGTTCCTGATTACCTGCTGGCGTATTGAGGGTGCACACTTAATATTTCAGTGGGGTTAACCGTGTGTGTATGTGTGTGTGTGTGTGTGTGTGTGTGGGGGTGTACGTGTGTATGCTACGGGGACTTGTCATCTTCAGTCTGCCGGCGTCTTTGCTGGGTTCAAACCCGAGGCAACGCTCAGTAAGCGGTTAAAACACCACAGTTGTTGGAATGCGGAAGTGACGTCACCAACACTTGACTCGCTAAATGTTTGTCAGATTATTTTTTTATTTTACTTTATGTTTAAACGTTTGGTGTAATTGAATAAGTCAATGAATCTGTGTAAAGGAATTAAGTTGTAAAAATTATTTGTTTTTGTATATCAATTGTTTGTGGAGGTAATATATGGACAGAACTGATTTATGAGAAGAAATCAGAAATAAGAGAGCTGTGGGAAGAAGAGCGGCCATTTTTGTTTTCTGTTTCTTTGTTACGTTGCTGGTAACTGGAGGGAGGGTGAGGCCCAGAGTATCTTGTATATGTTTAGTTTCTTTTGCACCCTGTTTTGAGTTTTTGAGCACAATAAATCACCAACACGGGTAACCAGACTGAACCTGGATTCTTGGAGGCCAAAGAACCCCGTCACACTGCCTAAAATCATCACTGTTACTGTTATTATATAGTAAATTAAATCATTACTGTTAAATTGTATTTATTGTCCAATTGTTTATTTAAATTCTTATTCTGGATTAGTTGGAGACATACACTAGGCTATATCAGCCCCACCAAAAATATTTTTCACCAGCCGCCACTGTGCTGCAGATAGGATTTGTCTTCACTCCACATCATGACATAGCTATAGTGAAATCTGGTCTTTGTTTTTGTCGCTTTCTGTGTTGTATGAGGTGTGTTTAAGTTTCAGGTTTGATTTTTATATCTGACTTGTATTAGTATGTTTAGTAACTGTTTAACAATATATTTTAGAAGGTGGGTGGAGTAATAGACTAGGCAAGCAAAAAAAGATTGAGAACTCTTCTGACAGTGTTGTTAGGAGATACCAATATAGTTATTGTTAAAAAGAACTTCCCTTTTTATCTCTCAGTCCATCACTCAGCAGCTGCTTTTAATCCCCCAAAGAAAAGGCTTTACATTGAATTAGGAAAATAACTTCCCTCTTTTGCAATAGAATAGTGTCTTTGTAACAAGAATTGATCACTGTCACTGCAGCAATAATTTGCTCAAGGAAAAGTTGTCACTGAAAAATTAATGTGTTGGAGGTCACGTTATATTGCACGCTATGCAGTCAGGGCCTGGTTGTTTTTTTCCTCCTCTTCTACTTCCTACACAGATTCCTAAAATACAAAACCAAGGCCAGCACACATGCACTTGATCACATGTGGAAATCTTTTCAGTTTTTACTGATGTGCTCCTCTGAGACGCAAACAAAGATTTCATTTTGTGGAAAACAGTCCAGTTCTTCCCAGACTCATACTGTTAGGGTCTCTGGGGTATTGCTGTTTTTCTGGTGTGAGTGAGATTACTGTTACAGATTGGATCTTTGCTGATGGCTGGGCTGACACATATTGCTGCACACCTGAGAGCACTTCTCAATTTAGGTGACTAGAGTGTACATAAGGAGGTGAAGGATAATCTCTCTTCGCCGGAGGAGTACCCCGATGACAACCAATTAATCTTGGTTCATTTCCAATCTTATTAGAAAAGGTCTTACCTGTGTTCAGCAGTTCTCAGTCGTCATCACCTGCCTGAGCACTCTCCAGCAGGAAATGTCTTACAAGTACCAATGCTCTTGGATCTCACTCACATTCTACTGGAACTCTGGGCTATAGTCTGCAATGCCCAATGAATCAAACCTCTGCAGATCCATGCAACCTCCCTCCTTCCTGATCAGGCTTCTTTCTCCCCTCAGACCAACCAGAAAGTTCCACTGACTTCCTGCAGTTCCCCGCTTCCAGATTCTTGTTGCTTTTGTAAGTAAAACGTTAACACTCACTGGTCCTCCGTGTGATTAAAAAAACTACAAACCAACATGACACAGACATGATGCAATCTAATATTATAAAACACAAGGCGTGACCATTGCTTGATAAACGTGGGAAAGTCATGACTTAATCCATATGCAGCACATGCATAACTTGTAAAGCTGCCAGAGTGTGTGATCTGTGCATATTTCATTCATTCCTCCATTCTCTGCCAGTAAGAACAACTCAGGGCACGTAATCAACAACATTTTATTGACCAGGGTTTATGTTGAATCTGCACAGCAGTTGTGTATGACAATAAATTTTGGCATACAAATCTTTAATGAGAGCTAGTTTAAAATGGACATGACAAGATCTGTTTCACTGAACAGCATTATATTATTGCTCCTTAATCATCAGTGCCTTCCAGAGAAGATCCAGCCAGTAAAGTTTTGCAGATTCTTTAATAAAATAATTACAGGCAACTTAGAGTTTTGACATGACCTTTTAGCTTGCAGCACAGGCACAATCAATATGTAGGTTGTCACTGATAGTTATGTACTTTGAATTCTTATAACGGTGATTCAGTCAACTTAAAGAAATAAATAACTTATGGGAACAAGGTCACAAACATTTGATTAATTGGTTGCAAATAGAAAAACAATGACTACAGAAAAAAAAAATAATAATTGGTTAACCTGAAGAGACACCTGCAATACATATTTCTCAATATACACAGCTCCAGAAAACATACACCTTTGTTTTCGGTCAAAGCTAAGATTCTGATTAAACTGGTAAGCTGAATACATCACACATATAGGGACATGAGAACACTAGTTTGGAAAAAATGTACAGCTTCCCAAGCACTCTGTCTTTTGATGCAGCAGTGGGCTCCCCAATGCCTGATGGAAAAAAAGAAGGAAAATACACAATGAAGATGCAATCTCAATCACACATTACCGACATGCCATTATTGCATGTTTCATCAGTGTTGCCTCTAAATGTTTGACTGTATGCTGAACATAAAGTTCCTTACATTACTCTGGTTCCATCTCTATATCCTGTCGGTCAAAGCTTTAGTGGGAAATGAGAAATATGCATTAGTATCATTTAAAAGATTTAAAAAAACAAACAATGTGATGTTTAAACTTTTTTGGGATCATCTTACTTTGCGGATGTATCAAATCTTGATCCATAATGGGAATAAACTCTCTGTTTTGAAAAGAGAAGGTATAACATCATCAATATAGTGATATCAAGTAAAAGAAATAAAATCTCTCTCTCTCTCTCTCTATATATATATATATATATATATATATATATATATAATACACACANTATAGATATAGATAGATAGATAGATAGATAGATAGATAGATAGATAGATAGATAGATAGATAGATAGATAGATAGATAGATAGATATAGATATGTATTGGCCAGGTGACTGCAGCAATTTACCAACTTTATCCACTGTAATTTTTTTTTAACAATCATTCGATTCCATTGATTCCATCAAAAAAAACAAAAAAAAAACAAACAAAAAAAAGAAAAATTCAGATTTTTTTGTCCCACTAATATGTTCAATTTACAGTGGATGTGTTTCTCAGTCAGAAAACATATTTTTTAGTGGAAAGGCCCCAGGAATGTGGTGTTTATGATATATTTCTCCTGTCCCTCTGGTGTGATCGGTGGTGACATACATAAGGTGGGATGAAAATTATTTTTCTGAGAATCCTAATGGATCGGTCTTTTGTGATCAGACATACTTTAGCTAGAAATAAATTCTTGGCTTAGTTGGGGTGTATTAAGGTCTTTTAATTGCTTTGTTTTATTTGTCTGTGAAATTGTGTGTCCTTTTCGGATTATTGTAAGGTCTTTCAAAGAGCTGTCAGAAATGTGGATATCTAGTGTTCAAATGTGTTGGGACTGTGTGGAAACAGATAACCAAACACTTTAAAGTCTGCTAATAACTCCTCCAATATTCCTTTATCTTAGAGATATATGGTATCCCACTCAAATGTTGCACAACAACGTCTGGTTTTACAAACTAGGAGCACCAAATCCATACGCTAAGTCCATTGAATTTGTAATTTAATTAGCTCAGACACTCCAGATATATAAAAAAATTACTTTTTGCTGTGAGCTCCAAGCACCATGTCTGGAGAAAAACGGGCTCCTGATCTTACTAACTGGATACAGTGAAGCATAGTGGTGGCAGTGTCGTGGTGAGTCCAATGTAGGGGTTATGAAAAAAATTCCTGTTACTAGAACTCACACTAGGGTTTATAATTTTTTATTATTTAAGATATTAAAGATAGCAAAACAGTAGCGTTAGATGCAGTCTGTGGATATTACTGAGTGGGCCTGCTAGAGCTCAGCCCTAAAACTATCGTTGATAATGTTGGAGAGCTAAAGCTCTCACAGCAGAACTGGGCAAAACAAAGGGGAGCCGACTCAACCATTTCTTTCAATACATTTGGGTCTTCAACCCATCTACCCTTTTGAAACCGTGCAGAGAACGGTCCAAGTGTGGTAACCAAGATAACTGTTGAGTGTAAATGGCATGCACAACTGAACTGGACAGCGTCATACACAATCGAACTACGATAAACTAATACTAGTTCAACAGTAGGGCTTGGTGCATCTCAGTTGCCCACAGAACCCACTTTAGACTAAAGTCCAGATTTCACATTCTCATCTCTGTTTCAGGTCAGTTGCAGACTGCCTCGGCGGGTCAATGAAGGGCAATGCTAACTACATCCACATAACTGCATTTAATTTGACTACACATTTGAGAGATGAGAGGAAACCCACACATAAAGAACAATACCTACATTTTGACTCATATCACCCACTGGAATATAAACTTCCCATGATCAAAACTCAGTTACTGGGCTGACAATATTCTCTCAATTACAGAGGAGAAACAAAAAGAACACAAACATGTTAGGAAATCACTTGAAACATGTGGTTATCACTAGTGGGAGTTTAAGTTGGCCAGAAAACTAGCACGAAGAACAACCCTGCATCTAAAACAATGGAGAAAACAGAGAGACTAAAAAAAACAAAACATTGTAATTCCATTGGTGTCAGGAGTTTCTGAGAAACTCAGAAGATTTTTTTCAAAACACAAAATACCAGTTACTTTCACACCCAACAACAAACTCAGACAAGGATGGGTTCGTCTTAAAGAAAAAAGAATATCCAAACCTAAGCTGAGCAGTGTTCTTTACATGATAAAGTGCAGTGAGGTACTGTACACTTTCCTATATTAAAGACCCAAACAACAACTAAACAAGCTCATTACACAGTACAGGAGAGACAATAACTCTGGGCAAGATTTAGCTGTTCACTTGCACCTCAAGGAGAAAGTTGATAAAAGGGTACACCTTTGCCGTTTGACCTCCCAAGTATGTACAATTCAGACATTGAACTCATTCCAAAGAAATCACATAAGAACACTTGACACTGACTCAAAAAAGCCACATAGCATATCACATAGCCCATGCACAACAAAACATTCCCAATAATCTAGATGAACAAAGGGTAGAGTGGTGGCCAAGTTGGGCAAGTTGTGGAATAGTGGTTAAAGTATTGCGCTTGGATCCTGGAGGTTCTGAGTTCAACTCCATTGCTCCCAAAAGGGATGTGTTAAATGCAGATGTGGTTTTCTGCAGTGTGAGATCGATAATTGGATTTACTATCATTAAAGGGTGACTATTTGATTTGCACCAATCTTGGGAAACGCTGAGAAGGATCGACCTCAATCCCACTTAAATACATCGGCTCTCCAACTACAGATTGCTCTGGTGCAATCCAACAGAACTGACAAAGATGTCTGGATAAGTGTCAAACCATTTTCTGAAAAACACTGAGCAAAGGTCCTGTTGCCTTCAAATTGAAGGCTTCTCATGTAATAACTGATCATCACATAAGATTTTATATTGAAAACAGAATTTTAGAGACAAAAACAAGACATTATGTTAAAAACCTGGAATCCTAAAGATTTAAAATGACTATTTACAAGTACAGCATAACTCCAAAATAACAAATTGAGACAGAAGATGCCATTTCCATATTTTTTTTTACATTAATCCTATGAAACATCTACATTTAAGTGACAATATCAACTGTTTTCTATATCACTCAATTGCCAAATAGCAAAAAGGTATCACTTTAACAATTATTGGTTAAAAATTTACAAATTTTCATTTAATGAATAAAATAATAGTGTTCAATTGATACTAAATAGTGTACTGCATTAACATACACCCCCCCAAAAAAAGTTAATTAAATGAATGTAATTGAGTACAGCTCCCAATTTAAAGGGAAAGTGTGATTCAGTTTGTATAGCTAAACTTGTTTAATCCTAGGACAGAGCCAATAAACATTTGTCCTTACCCAAGAAGCAGCATTCTCACAGTATGTTTAACTTGACCAGGATATTTTAAGATTTTATTTTGACATTTAAAAAAACGGATTTTGGTTATGTTTATTAACCCATTCTTACAGGAAAACACAACCGGAAAGCAGTCACTAACAAAATATTTAGCAGACCTTGTTATTTACAATTATGGCTACTTCTAGCTCCTTTTTAGTTCCTCTGTGTTCCAGTTGCCAAACATTCTCACTGCAAACACAGATGATTTTAATCAGTGTTTGAGGATTTAGGGCTCAGGCACTGTGAGAGCCCATCTTTGCCACATGCTATGCAAAAAATACTAAAGAGAGATTCTGAAGATAAACAAGACGGCAGGAAAGACAAAGCTTAAAACATACGGATAGTATTCCACATGTGGGATATTATCCAATTTAAAATGGATGTTTTTTTTTCTACTTTGTGTGCTTTTTAGTTTAATAACATCTGACCTCAGGTTGAAAAGAAAAGTTGAGACAAAACTGCACTGTTTTTTTAAGACCAAAGGTTTTTGGAATTTGAACTTCTTCTGGTTTGACATTGTGTTGGACTAAATAAGAATAGGTTGTTTAAATCACTAATTATAATATGAAAGCTTATAGTTGGTCCCATTCATTGAATGAAACAAGTACAAACTCTCATTCCTAGAATGAAAAGTGCTAATCTATTTTCATTAAAGCTGTCAAGAAGGCGTTTCACAGCTGCAATTTGTGGTCAAAGAGTTATAAAAATCATGTTTGCCCTCTGCTCTTAAAATGTTGCTTTGGGAGGAAACATTGTTAATACAGATTTCTGGATCTTGCAAGCCAATTAAAAGATAGTGTCTTCCAGGAAACATTGGATCCAATTTATTGTATGACCTGCTTTTTGCATTCATGGTGACCGTGCCCAGCGAAAAAAATAAGACTTGCTGCCAGACACAGATACAGTTCCATTCTTTAAATTTTATTGAGTTCAATCGCGCTCCATTCCCGCTGAGGTGTGTCGTCCCCTATTAGTCCAAACTCTGTCCCATTGAGTTTTTATTTATTTCCTGTTGTCATCTTGGTGGTAGCAACCTGATGTTGAAAGCCTAATCAGTTTCCATCCATCCATCCATCCATCCATCCATCCATCCATCCATCCATCCATCCATCCATCCATCCATCCATCCATCCATCCATCCATCCATCGTATTTGACAATAATTTTTTTAAGGAAAAAAAACATTTGGGCACAAGGCCAACTTTTGTACATTTCTTTTAAAAGAAAAAATAACAATGAATAGTCTATTGTACACAAAACAGTAGACCACAAGATAAAATCATTATCCGATAAACTGCTTACGGTTACAATTAGATTATGTGTTTTGCTGGCTGTGCCTCAAATTGCTGAAGTATTTAATCATTAATAAAAACCTCCCTCTTTTTCTAAGGGGTCAATTGTGGCTGCATGTCTGTTTCTTTTATTATCTAGAATCTAATGCATCAAAAAGTTTGATATTTAACCAATACCAGCAAGCATACCAACAGCAGGCTATCAAAACAGCTTGTAAGCATATCAGCTACTATAGCACTAAAAAAACAACACTTTCCCTTTAATCTTATAATAACATGTCCTAAAAAAGCTTCTCCATGTGACACTAATGATCTGTCAAACATCATAAATATCCTTAAAGGATAAAGCTTACATAAGATCCAAGTGGAATCTTAACAGTAACCTATACATTTGTCTAGAGTAATGTAAGACATGTGAATGCTTAAAGGTGTAGTTCTGATAAGATCTTGTTCTCAAAATCTCACGCTATTAAAATGG